CTAGTTGATTTACAGTGTTGTGTTAATTGGCCTTGGTTTTCTACTCAACATACAACTACTGCTGCGGTCCACCCTCGCCTTGCTGGCCCAGGGCTAAGCTGAGTGCTCCGTCCTTGCACCTGGGAGCCGTCCCTCAGCAGGGCCTCCCTGATGTTGTTTTCCATCTGCCTCTCTCGGTGGAGGCAGATTAAACCACTTACTGGTGATACAGGGCTTCTTCCTCAAACCTAGAGCATTTATATTTTACTCTGATACTTGAGAAGAAAACCTAAAGGGCAGTACCATTTGGGGTCATGTATAAATCTTTTATGTTTGTGTATAGTGTCTATAATGATTCGCCAGAATGCTTTGAGAGCAGCAACTTTTAAGGGCTGAAGGAACTGCTGCCACAGGAGGGAAGTGCTATTAGTGACTTTAGTTGCTGCTTGCTGTGGAACGTTCTTGAACAGAGAGGTGTGGATTGTAAATAGAAATTGCTTGGGGTGTGGCCATGGAACAGGGATGGTCAGGTGCTTTTTTTTCTTACCTCCTTCTCCTACCTTCCCTTCCTTTAAACCTTTATTCTTTTTCTTTTTTAAGAAAATGAAAAATGGTAAAGATAGGAGAAAAAAATATAAGATGTGTATAGTTTTTCAATATTGAATGGTGTTTTTCTGAAGTCCCTCATTTCTATATCTATATGTATTTGTTGGCCAAAAATGTTCATTCATGTTTTTCCATAACATCTTTGGCCAACCCAATAAGACAAGTCCCCTTTCTTTGAAGCTTGATAGTAATGGTCTATATAGGGAGCCACTGAACTTTTTTTCTTTCTTTTACTTTTACAGGTGCCATATTTCTATTTAAAATGATCGTGTCGTTTTCAATCAGGCTGCCCATCCGAACATGCGGACCTACTATTTCTGTACTGACACAGGAAAGGAAATGGAGTTATGGATGAAAGCCATGTTAGATGCTGCCCTGGTGCAGACAGAACCTGTGAAAAGGTAAAGGCTTGTAGGGAAAGCAGTGGTGATTTCCACTTATATTTTATGCCCTGCCTTGCAAATAAATACATCATTGTCATAGTACATGTCATTTTAGTAGTCATGATACAGAACCATTTCTTCCCCAGAAAGCAAGGATTAAGTTCATCTTCTATATTAAATCAATACATCTTTAGTTGGTTTGAGATGCCATCTGCATTTTTATTCCACCTTCCCTCTTTATTCATTCTCACCTATCCATATACTGAGGTGAATCCCAAATCCTAACATTCCAACTGAATGTTCTTTCTTCTTACAGAATTACCTTTAATATCCGGTAAGTACATTTTTAATTGCTATCTTAAAAGTACACGAAACAGTGTTTCTTAAGGTTCTGAATCTTAGACGAGAATTTATATTCATGAAGTTAATTTCACTGTGTTTTTATATTATGTTGTATGTTTCTCAAGTTTAATCAATTGAAATAAAAGTTTTTGATAGGTTTCATTTCTTCAGTGTTTCCAGGATATTTCTGATTGTTTCATGATGAATGTCTCCAGAAAATAGTTCATCAAGCATCTAGATTATTTCTAAATATATCTACTTCTTAATGAATTCTATCTTCTTTCTTTTAAAACTCCAGGACTTAGATTCTTTGGTTATATAAATATGTACTATTAAAATTGATGTAAGTGTGATTTTTCCCACCTGCCTTAACATGTGAATCATTTTAATATTCAACTATATTAAAAGCTAGTGAGAGGAAATCAGCTTCTAAAATATGTAAATAGTAGCTGAATTATGAGCTTTTGGCATTTTTTAAAAATATATTCCTGTAATTTGGATGAAGATCTATGATACAGTTAAATTTTTCTTCGAGTCAACAACAGTTGAGCACATATATAAGGAAGATTGCTAACTTGCATATCTGGTCTTTTTGCTATTTTCTCAGGAAATTAAAGTCTTTTGAGGTATTGGTTAAAAGATTCAAGTTGATGCTGTATACGTAAATTTATGTTTATCTATTTCAGATCAATTTAACTAATCACTAGTAATTAGAGCTAGGCAAAACTATGCAGAAGAAAGGAAAGAAGGTCTAAGATTGAACTCTGGGACACCTATTTTTAAGAATAGCTACCTCAAACATAATGCATTTTCTAGGTTGAGAGCTAATAAAGGGAAAATCTGTTTTTGGAATTTCATGTGTAAAAATGACCTGGATGGACATAAAGATGAGACTATTATGACTGAGAGCTAGAGAAAATTTGTTAGGTGAAAAAAAATGAATTGAAAATCTTAGGATAAAACTGACTTCAGATAATACTAACTTTTAGGGAATTGTTTAGAATACAGAAATCAATATAGTCATTAAGATATATGATTTCTAGATAATTTCAGTTTCATATATTGCACTTATCCCAGAATTTCAACTTCTATTTTCTTTTCTTGTATTTTCCAGTCTAAAAACTAATAATTACTCCTAATTTATGCTGTTAAAGATGATATTCAATATTGTTTCTTGACTCTGGACAACTATTTGTTGATTATCTGCCCATAGCAATTTTTAGCCAGTTGCATTGATATAATTTGCCCAGTTAGCCAGGAATGATTGAATACCATCTACGTGCCTGACCTGGTGTCAGTCACCATCATCCTGTAGAAGTTACATCTTCTGGGGACTTGCCTAGTGGTCTAGTGGCTAGGACTCCATGCTCCCAATGCAGGAGGCTAGAGTTCGATTACTGGTCAGGGAACTAAGATTCCACATGCCACAACTAAAGATCCCACATGCTGCAACTAAGAGCTGGAGCAGCCAAATAAATTAATTTTTAAAAAGGAATAAAGAAATTACATGTTTTATTCTATCTCTAGCTCATTTATGAAGTATTTTAACCTATGACCTGCAACATCATCATTCCCCAATGGGAAGGCCACTGATGGCATTACAAAATTCTAAGCATAATATACATTCTCTGAATAATTTTCTATCTCTCGGCCCATTATTATCATTTTCTATATTTGCATGTATCTTCTGCAGTAACTTAAATGTTACTTTTTAAAATTAGATCACAGGTTTTACATTATTTATGTTATCTTAGCATACATTTTTGAATCAGTTTTGGTTCCATTTAGAGAGAAGTCAGCATGTGTCTTTTTTGATTACATCTTTTAAGTTTTTGGAAAAATTGAGGGAAAAGTCATTGCAGTTCTAATTTAAAATAGCTTTAGGTAGATTAGAGGTAACTTTTTAAAAAGACCTTTTCATATATTTGATGCTCAGTGTTTTAAAAAATTCTTTCTACTCCTGAAATTAGCTTGGATAAATGTGTTTGTAGCATAGATCTTCTCTGATTTCTATCTTTCAAGTGGAAGAAGCTCCATAGCATATCTTAATAAACTCCCTCAGTGTCTAATATTGCTTCCAATATGAAGCCATGAATTTTATCTAAACCTAAATATATGGATGGTCTATAACTGTACTCTGAGGGAAATAGTCACATTTCTTTTTATTTTTTCTCACTGATTTTATTCCTAACTAGCCATCTCTGTATAGCTGAATAGAATATGTATGTTATTAAGTCTCTTCATTTGTGTGTGACTTCTTTGCAACCCCATGGACTGTAGCCCACCAGGCTCCTCTGTCCATGGAATTCTCCAAGCAAGAATCCTGGAGTGGGTTGCCATTTCTTCCTCCAAGAATATGTATAGATTCTGCATTTTTAACACATGCATTTTTATCACTAACACTGGCAGCAATAGCACAGTTAGGATTCAGTAGGATCATTATTATATATTGAAATGTGCAAGGTTGGTCAGTTCCCTCTTCAAGAAGCCTCCCAGTGTGGTATCATCTTGGCAGTTTTGTGCAGGTACAGACACTCAGCTTGGTCTGGTCAGATCCTGGAAGTGATTGGTCTCAGGAAAGCTGATTCTCATCAAAAAGACCCAGATAGAGCAATTGGCATGGTGAGCAGTAAAACCATCTGCTGGCTCAGGCGCACACTGCTAAGCAGCACATTCTTCCTGCGGGGACGTGGACACGAGATGCCAGCTTCTGATCCACAGTTGCTTGATGAGATTGAATGGTAGTGGTGATAAAGTCTGTGCCAGTCACAGATTTATTCATGTGGAGCTCACAGCAGTCCCGTATCCTTGGTGCTAAAGTTTTCCCTACTTGCCAAAGAGGAGTTTGAGGCTCAGTAATTTTCTGTACCTTGCTGGAAACTCAACTAGTAAGCGGTAGAACTGTAGACGTCTGTGGTGGTCCAGTGGTTAAGAATCTGCATGTCAATGCAGGGGACACAGGTTTGATCCCTGATTCGGGAAGATTCCACATGCTGCAGGGCAGCTAAGCCCGTGCGCCTAAAGCCTGCTCCGCAGCAGGAGAAGCCACTGCAATGAGAAAAACCTACACACAGCAACTGGAGACTAGTTGCACGCTCTCCCTGCCCCCCTCCTTCAGCCCCCACCAAACCTGGCCTCAACTAGAGAAAGCCTGTGGTCAACCAAAAGATAAATAAGCAAAATAACAGTGTTAACTACTGGAAGTTCCACAAATTAAGAAAAAAGAGAGCACATGTAGTCCAGCTCAGAAACTGAAGTCCTCAGGAATACAGAGAGTGAGTTGGTCACATGGTCTCGATCTTTGATAGCATCAGAAGATAATGTCCATTTCCACAAACCAGAGTCATGTTTGTCTCATGATGCATTAACCCTCCTGATTGGAAACCATGTTGTTTATTTCAAACAACCAGCTACTGTGGTCTTTTAAGCATGGATTTTTGTGGTTTCACGGTCAAAGGACAGCCTCATTTGCTTTCTTTTCAGATTTCTAATGGTAGGGACACTCACCACTTTTTTTGTTTTCCAGTGCTTTCTACACTGTGTATTTTATGTTTAATTTTCTCCCCTTTCTATTTATACATTCTGGTGTTGTACTTGAATTTTCATGCCATGACATTGGGGATTTGTGCAGACTTGTCTTCTGCAACCCTTAGCTCGTTCTCTGGCTCGCTCCCTCCTCCCTCGGCAGCCGCGGCGGCAGCAGGACAAGGCGGCGGCGGCGGCTGGGGATCAGACATGGCGGCGGATCTGAACCTGGAGTGGATCTGCTCCCTGCCCCGCTCCTGGACTTACGGGATCACCAGGGGCGGCCGCGTCTTCTTCATCAACGAGGAGGCGAAGAGCACCACCTGGCTGCACCCCGTCACCGGCGAGGCCGTGGTCACCGGGCACCGGCGGCAGAGTACAGATTTGCCGACTGGCTGGGAAGAAGCATATACTTTTGAAGGTGCAAGATACTATATAAACCATAATGAAAGGAAAGTGACCTGTAAACATCCAGTCACAGGACAGCCGTCCCAGGACAATTGTATTTTCGTAGTAAATGAACAGACTGTTGCAACCATGACATCTGAAGAAAAAAAGGAACGACCTGTAAGGATGATAAATGAAGCTTCTAACTATAACATGACTGCAGACTATGCGGTGCATCCAATGAGCCCTGTAGGGAGGACTTCGCGGGCCTCAAAAAAAGTTCATAATTTTGGGAAGAGATCAAATTCAATTAAAAGGAATCCTAATGCACCTGTGGTCAGACGAGGTTGGCTTTATAAACAGGACAGCACTGGCATGAAGCTATGGAAGAAACGCTGGTTCGTGCTTTCTGATCTTTGCCTCTTTTATTATAGAGATGAGAAAGAAGCGGGTATTCTGGGAAGCATACTATTGCCCAGTTTTCAGATAGCTCTGCTTACCTCAGAGGATCACATTAATCGCAAATATGCTTTTAAGGCTGCCCATCCGAACATGCAGACCTACTATTTCTGTACTGACACAGGAAAGGAAATGGAGTTATGGATGAAAGCCATGTTAGATGCTGCCATGGTGCAGACAGAACCTGTGAAAAGAGTGGATAAGATTACATCTGAAAATGCACCAGCTAAAGAGATCAATAACTTTCCCAATCATAGAGTGCTAATTAAACCAGAGGTCCAAAATAACCAGAAAAACAAGGAAATGAGCAGAAATGAAGAAAAAAAGGCATTAGAAGCTGAAAAATACGGATTTCAGAAGGATGGCCAAGATAGACCTTTAACAAAAATTAATAGTGTAAAGTTGAATTCTCTGTCGTCTGAATATGAGAGCGGGTCAACGTGCCCAGGTCAGACTGGACACTACAGGCCAGTCAATTTGAATAGCTCAGAGAACAAAACAGTCAATGTGAGCCTGGCAGATCTTAGAGGTGGAAGTCACCCCAATACAGGGCCCTTACACACAGAGGCTGATCGAGTCATACAGAGAACGAATTCAATGCAACAGCTGGAGCAGTGGATTAAAATCCAGAAGGGAAGAGGTTATGAAGAGGAAACCAGGGGGTAAGTGTCTTGTGGTGTTGACGGGAGACTGGTTTCTGAGATATGGGGTCAGTGTATTGAATTCAAATTGCATTTGTGATATTACAGCTTCATGACTCATCTTTTCTTCAGGGTAATCAGATATGTGTGTGTGTGGTTTTTTTTCTTTTTTTTTTTCCTCTGTCTCTCTGAGTAATGTTCTGAGTAATGTTCACCCAACTTTACTGATGGCAAGGAACCATCCTCCCTGGCCCAGTATAAGAGAAAGTGTAGGCCGTGGGTACAGATCATGTTTGTTTGAGGCAAGGACAGAAGCAAGATCTAGCTTCACCCCTTTACACACACGCACACTGAGGAAGGGGGTAAGACCTAGCCTCAGCCCTTTACACACACACACACACACACACACACACACACGCTGCTGCTGCTGCTGTCGCTTCAGTCGTGTCTGACTCTGTGCGACCCCATAGACGGCAGCCCACCAGGCTCCCCCGTCCCTGGGATTCTCCAGGCAAGAATACTGGAGTGGGTTGCCATTTCCTTTTCCACTGCATGAAAGTGAAAAGTGAAAGTGAAGTCGCTCAACCATGTCCGACCCGTAGCGACCCCATGGACTGCCACCTACCAGGCTCCTCCGTCCATGGGATTTTCCAGGCAAGAGTACTGGAGTGGGGTGCCATTGCCTTCTCCAACACACACACACACACACACACACAAAACTTGTCTTCACTGTCCCCACCATCCTGCTCTGTTTTCCATTAGTAGCTCCTACAGCTTAATGTAATGCGAAGCTCTCCTGAGACATGTAATGTGTGGTGACCGGAAAGGCTTCAGTGACTCTGTGCGACCCCATAGACGGCAGCCCACCAGGCTCCCCCGTCCCTGGGATTCTCCAGGCAAGAATACTGGAGTGGGTTGCCATTTCCTTTTCCACTGCATGAAAGTGAAAAGTGAAAGTGAAGTCGCTCAATCATGTCCGACCCGTAGCGACCCCATGGACTGCCACCTACCAGGCTCCTCCGTCCATGGGATTTTCCAGGAAAGAGTACTGGAGTGGGGCGCCATTGCCTTCTCCAACACACACACACACACAAAACTTGTCTTCACTGTCCCCACCGTCCTGCTCTGTTTTCCATTAGTAGCTCCTACAGCTTAATGTAATGCGAAGCTCTCCTGAGACATGTAATGTGTGGTGACCGGAAAGGCTTCAGTGCTCTAGTCTCAGTCTCATTTCTTGTCTTTCTTAAACTCATGATGCACATGACTAAGTATTATATTTATTCATCTAAGTGTTTATTCATTCATGTGCACACTTATTCTTTTGTATACTTATTGTATAACTACTATATGGTAATCATGGGACCAGGAAGTAAAATACTGAAATGATATAGTCCAAATTTCTCACAGCCATTCTTAGTCTCGTGGACTAAGTTAAACAGATCCTGCATATGATGACAAATACAGCAAGAAGAGAAGATGTTTCAGGGACAACGAGCCCAGCCTAAAGGTTCAGGGAAACCTGTCTGGAGGAAGTGAAGTAGGAGCCCAGATATGAAGGATGGTATGCTTATCTTGGTTGCGGTATGCACAACTGAGGAGTTGATAGTGCTGGGAAAAGACTCCAAAGCCGAGTCTGGCTGAGGCTCACATCATCACAACTGCTGTAATGATGGACAAGAAGCAAGGCTGGAGAGAGAAGCCAGAGTTGTTGTATGTATGCAGAGTGGTGATTCAGTAGAATCTGGAGAATGAGTTGGAGAAAGTTCAAAAACTGAACTTGTAATTGACAGGTCTAGTTGAGTACTTGGATGTGCTTGATTGCAGACTGGTCTCACTCGAATCTCATTTGAGTGGCTGGGGGAAATCAAGAATGGTGCTCTGCTTTTTTGGTCGGTTGTCAGGCATTATCCAGTGCCTCTCACCGCATAGGGAAGGATTGGGGAGACAGAAGGTAATGAGTGATTGGATAGGTTAGATTTGAGGTGCCTGCAGTCTGTACCTCCAAGGAGAGATCTGGACTTGAATAAGATTTGGAGTGTCATCATCATGATATCAGACATGCTTAAAAGTAAGGATGAAAGGAGAAGCATTCATTCAGTAGGAGGCTGGATAAAGTAAAGATTCTAAGGGAAAACCAGAAAGAACTTTGACGTTTAAAGGAAAAAAAGGATAAACAGCAAGGTCATACTATATGGCACAAGGAACTATATTCAACATTCTGTGACAAACCATAATGGGAAAGAATATGAAAAAGAATGTGTGTGTGTGTAAGTATGTGTGTGTAACTGAGTTACTTTGTTGTACAGGAGTAATTAACACAGCATTGTAAATCAGCTATACTTCAATACAGTTTTTTGAAAATTAAAAAATAAAGGGAAAAAAGGGATTGGAGGGTCTGCAAAGACCAGAAGTAAAGGCCAGAACATGGAGGAAAAGCAGGTGCCCGTGGATGAGAAAGTGTTGTGTTTTTAGGTGGGAAGCTGGTGGTGTAAGGTTTATAAAGTACTGTAATGAGCTATCGCATACACAGTTAACTGAAGACCTACTGTAACTCTTACCTTTCAGGAGTAGGGAACCAGAAAGCAATAAGTTAGTAATGTTTTGGTTGAAAGAAGATGAACTTTTGGGGTAGTGGGATGTCCTTCTGGTCGGGGTGGTTGTCAGCCAGTCTCTCCTCTCAGGAGTGCAGCTCGGCCCCTCTCATCCCATGGTGTGTTGCTCACTCCTGTTTTCTCCTCCTCCACCCTTATTGCTCACTTTCCTAATTTTCCCAAGGGACAGCTGTGAGAAACAGTTGCTGTCTCAACAATAAAATTTGATTGCACCGGAGAAAAGCCAGAGGTATTGGGGGAGTGGGGGCGGGTAGGAAATGACAGGATGTTTGAAAGTACTTATGAAGGTAATCGTTTTCAGGGAAACAGTAATAAAAACCAGAGCCAGAAGATTTGCTGCCTCTCTACCCAGCAAATTAAATCTCGCTTCTTAATTGAATCAGTTTTCCTCAAGTAAAATCATATTTTCGTAAGGTTGAAAGTGAACCATTAAAGGAGTTCAGTATCTGAAGTTAGTTTTTTTAATTGTTGAGCCATAAGTATTAGTTTTCAAGCACTTCTCAAAGTCTTTGGTTGGATGTAATGAACATCCTTAAAGGCTCCCTGTGACTTACAGATTTTGACTGCAGATCTTCCAGCTTCTAAAGGCTGGCCTGAGGTCATTTGGAGCTCAGGTTCCCTTCATGTTGCTCCTCCAAGTTTGGGTTCCCTGGCTAGAGCCCAGCTTAGATCATTGACATAGGTCATCTACATTATTATGTGAACATCATGCTTCAAAAACAGTGGTGAGGTTTTACAGTGAAATAATTTTTATCGGTGGCAAGAAGCGTAATGGTCATAGATGGCAGAATTCATTTGGTGAAACTTTATGAAAGGCTGGCTTTCATTCCTAAAGTTCTAATAGAAAGAAAAGAGGTTTCCTATGTAGTCATATAGTAGGTGCCTGCATCTGTGAACAGAGTCTGAAAATTCCTTTGTGAGGGGCGGGCCCGTTCAGATGCTGGGGCCTAAGCCATTGTTTTGCATGGCAGAATCACGTGTCAGGGTTTTCAGGGCGTTTGACAGGCAGGTGCTGTTGAATGGAGCACAAAACCTGACTAAGGCGCCCACAGAGTTACTTAAGCTTTCACTTAAAAAGTAAATCACAGTTTGCTTAATTTGAATTTCTTTGGAGAAAAACACTGAAGGAAACTAGTTTTTTTTTTTTAAAAAAAAAAAAAGGTCTCAAAGTGGTAGAAAGTATATGGGGTGAAAATAAATTTGCTTGATGATAACCAGATTTTCCATTAAAATCCTCCAAAAAGTAGTTCCAAAGATGGCAGAAGAACCTTTTACACTTTGTAGTCACTTTTATTTAGCTAGCCGAGCTTGGTAGGAAAATTGCCTGCCGTTGATGATCACACATTAGATGATCCAAGTGCAGTAGCCACCTCGGTCACAGGGTCCAGCTCGTGTGGACGCCTGCGTTCTGTGTCATCAGATTTTTCTGAACTGGAATTTAAACATTAGCCTACAGGCAGTTTTTCATTTGTTTTAAATCGAAAATATGTGACCCTCCTTTATGTAACTATAAATGATCTTTTTACAGATTTCTGAACAGCATACATGAAGTTAATATCATTTATGTTTTCGGTATTTGTTACTGTGATACAGTTCTGTGCCTAATCCAGAGCTTCTTACACAATGGGATGTCTATGGTATTTCTTAAGTTTATGAATGGCCCAATAACCAAGGTATGCTGGAGTACACTGCTGGAGCACTAGGGCGGAATTTATCGGATGGAATCATATTCCCTGCCTGACATGCTTTCCTAAGCACCCATGGGGTTGCCAGCTCTGGGCTTTCTTCTGTTAGCGGAGAAGATGAGGGTTGGAGGGAGATCAGGCAAGGAAAAAATAGAAAATTTACATGGAGAGAAAGCAGTAAAAAGACTTGATTCTTTTTACTGCTAATATCAGAGTATGGGGTACCTTCCTCCCCAACTCCAGCCCCAAAGTCTTCAGACGGTTGGGCTGTCAGAAGTGTGTGTGTGTGTGTGTGTGTTTTGAGAGGGATGACAGCTCAGTTGGTAAAGAATCCACCTGCAATGCAGGAGACCCTGTTTTGATTGCTGTGTCAGGAAGATCCACTGGAGACAGGATAGGCTACCCGCTCCAGTGTCCCTGGGCTTCCCCTGTGGCTCAGCTCAAGACATGGAGAAGCTGAGGGACATTCAGCGAGATGAAGGAAACTCAGCTTAGAAGAATGGTTGAAGGACCTGGAAGTATTTCAAAATACAAAATAAAACACGGAACTTTAGAATTGTAAGACCACTTTGTGATCAAATCCTCTTCTAGATGAGAAAGCCAAGTCCCAGAACATTTCCGTTGGCCCGATTTCAGCAGCACATGAAGGGCTCCAGCACTTTAAGATTCTACCCTTCCTAATTTAGTGGTATCTTTTTATCTTTAAGTATATTATTGCAACAGAATAGTAAAGTTTTTTTTAAATAATTTCCATACTTTTGGCAAAAATTTTAAAATAAAAGAATGAATTTGCTTTTTTGTTAAATCCCAAAGTCTTGAGAAATCTTAAGTCTCAAAGGGAATCGTTGACATAATAAAGAGTAGACGGCTGCTTAAGGAAGTGAGAGGCCTGCATTGTGGTTCCAGCCAGACCACTAACTCTTCTTTAACCCCCTAGTATTGAAAAGAGTATGATCTCTTCTTAGCCTTCTCCCGCCACACACTTGAACCTTCTCTCAGTCCCAGAGGTGTAACTAACCTCCTCTAAGATCTTTTTATTTAGGGGGAAAACAAGAATGAAAGCTTGGCCCTCCAGATGTTTGACCAACTGCTTCTTCCCGCTTGATTAATAATAAAGTTCACAAGTATTAAAACATCATAATATTCTGGAGATCTGCAGTTTTGAGTCTGAAATAGCATCATGTTGAAGAATTTTGTCTTTAAAAAATTAAATTTTTAGCTTTAGCTTTGAGTCATTTTTATTTCTGAAAAGTTATCCAGGGAAATGATTCCTACAGACTGATTCATGTACTTCTTCCCGTAAACAGTTATGCTTTCAGAAGGACAAAGTACAATAAAGCCTCACCACCTGCAGTCCTTCATTTCCAATCTCCATGCTCTGTAGGCACAGCTCAAAAACTCCAATGTTCCATCCACACACAGAAACCCTGTTTAAGTATTCTTCTGAGATGTGTGAAGATGAGATTCTAGGAGATTATTTATATAAAAACAAGGAAGACATGAGGACAGACTTGAGATCTTGAACATTTTTATTTCTGGAGAAAGTATAGAACTCTTCCTTCCTGAAACCAAACCATACATTGTGTGGAATAAATGGTCTTTAATGTGAGTGACACAGATGTTGTTGACTTAGTATATTCAATCCGTCAAATTAGATTTCATAAAAAAATTAAATTCTGTTCATTAGTCACCTTTAAAAAAAAATGAATCTTCAGTATACATTTTATCTATCAGGAGGGGAGAAAAAAAGAAAAAACAAAAACGTACTCCAATTTACTATCTGAAAAGCAGCTCTCCTTCAGTTTCATGTTGCAATTGTTCTTTTATTTCAGAGTAATCTCTTACCAAACGTTGCCAAGAAACATGCCAAGCCACAGAGCCCCAGTCATGGCCCGCTACCCGGAAGGCTACAGAACCCTCCCGAGAAACAGCAAGACCAGGCCGGAGAGCATCTGCAGCGTAACGCCCTCGGCCCACGACAAGGCAGCGGGACCCGGAGCCGAGGAGAAGCGGAGATCCATGCGGGACGACACCATGTGGCAGTTATATGAGTGGCAGCAGCGTCAGTTTTACAACAAGCAGGGCACCCTCCCTCGCCACGGCACCCTGACCAGCCCCAAAACCATGGTCAACATCTCCGACCAGACGATGCACTCCATCCCCACGTCACCCTCCCACGGCTCCATAGCCGCCTATCAGGGCTTCTCCCCTCAGCGGACCTACAGATCGGAAGTGTCTTCGCCAATTCAGAGGGGAGACATGACCATAGACCGCAGGGACATGACCATAGACCGCAGAGATGTCACCATAGACCGCAGAGATGTCACCATAGACCGCAGAGACATGACCATAGACCGCAGGCACCGGGCCCATCATCCCAAGGTAAGGCGTCTGCTCATCCAGGGTTCATTGCTCCTCCAAGGATGCTGCAGTTTACTTTTAGTTGTTTAGTCGCTCAGTCATGTCCAGCTCTCGTGACCGCATGGACTGTAGCCCACTAGGCTCTCTGTCCATAGGATTTCCCAGGCAGGAATACTGGAGTAGGTTGCCATTTCCTCCTCCAGGAGATCTTCCCAGCCCAGGGAATGAACCCACATCTCCTGCATTGGCAGGCGGGTTCTCTACCACTGAGCCATGTGAGAAGCCTTTTACTCCTATTAATAGTACACTGCTCTTTCTTGTGAATGCCAGAGACAAGATAATGGGGAGGAGGCAGGCAAAATCAGCTCTTTTTTGTTTTGTTTTAAAAATTAAAGAAGCATTTTTGCAATGTCAGACTCTTATGTATAAAACCTAAGCTTGCAGGGCTTCTTCTCTTAGGATCAGCTCTTTGGAACGGATACATTATGCATTCCTCTCTGCTTGAGAGCAGATCTCATCAGCTTTCCCTGTAGGTTAAGACCACATGCATTTGGATTGGCCCTACGCATACTTGCAAATTCTACACCGCCTCTTGTAGCACCCCTACAGTCTTCTGTCAGGCTCTTCCTATTCTCTGCTAAGATAAAAGTGTGATCCTCATCTTCTAACCACCAGCTGAAGATACAGCATACTGAAATACCTCCTCAGGTGCCCAATTGCATATTAAAGTAACATCACTTACTGATATATATACTTTTTTTTTGGCCACGCCATGCAGCTTGTGGGATATTAGTTCCCTACCAGAGATCAAATCCATGACCTCAGCAGAGACGTGCGGAGTCCTAATCACTGGACTGACAGGGACTTATCCATATATATTTTTAAAAAAATTTAGATATAGAGATCATGCTTTAATGCACATGTTAAGTTGGTTTAGGGGCTTCCCAGGTGGTAAAGAATCTACCTGCTGCCAATGCAAGAGATACAAGAGACAGGGTTTCAGTCCCTGGGTCGGGAAGATCCTCTGGAGAAGGAAATGGAAACCCACTCCAGTGTTCTTGCCTGGAGAATCCCATGGACAGAGGATTCTGGTGGGCTACAGTTCATGAGGTTGCAAAGAGTCAGAAACAACTTAGCCAGTAAACAAACAGCAGCAGCAGCTCAGTGGGTTCAAGTCTTGCTTAGTAGATTTTTTGAAGTGAAATTGGAGCACCTTGCGTCAATCAGCTTTTCACAATGCTGAAGCAAAATCATTTTGATTAGTCACTGTGTTTGTAACCGAGTCTTAGTGTCTGTCCTAAAGTGAAAAGGCATTTTTCTTTCCCTTTCTTTGAATTCTAAAGAGCCTCTCGCTTTATGCTATTTTGAAAAGTGCCTTTTCTTGTCCTTGTGATGGGCTGACTCCTTCAGTTACATCATTGCATAAAGCTTTCGCTTGATTTTTCCATAAATAAGCATTAGTTAGGAATTAATAAGTCAATCAGAAAGTGTCTTTTGAAAGAAGCTTTAGTTTGTCTCACCAAAAAAAGGCTCACTTTGAACGTCCCTGTAACAGAGTTCAGCGTTTTGACACTTTGTACATCCAAAGGCTAATGAAAATTATTAACGATATTCAAGAGAAATCTGATCAAATGCAAATTATTCGTGTGTGGTTGAACAGTGTTCTCATGGTCAAAATTGATCATCTGTTTCAATAGCAAATATGAGATGTAGGTGTGCTACCTAGTCAGTTTTCCCAGTCAGCTAGCACCTGGCCCTCCTGAGAAGCGCCTCCAGCGTTGCCAGGTTTTCTTTGTGCCTGTCCTGTCGTCTTCCTTGATGTGATCCGTGGTTCTCAAAGTAGGGTTCATGGATCCTAGGGAGCGCCTGGGGTTACCTGCGGTACCCACGAGCCTTTCAGGGAGTCTCTGATAAGCTCAAAACTGTTTCTGTAGTAATAATAATAAGGCATTGTTGACTGTGTTGTCATTTCCTACCAGTGCAAACACACTAAAAAGTGGGTAAAAGCACTAGCGCCTTAGCCTGAATCAAGGGAATGGCTCAGACTGTGTGGGTGGTCGTTGTAATATTTCACGGTCACAGATTTGCTGTAAAAATAAAGGAGCAATTTCACTCAATCCCCAGCATGAAACAGTAAAAGATAACTGTGTTCAGTCTTGACTGTTCGTTCCATAATGTTTGTGTGATGAAATGGGAAATGTACTTAAAGCATGTCTATTGCATACCCCAGTCTCAGAGAAAAATGCTTGCATGGTTATTTGAGTTATAAGCTAAACTAGCTCCTTTTTTTTTTTTTTTCAGGCTCTAATGTTTTGCTTTGTTGCTTTTTATTTATTTTTGACTTTGCTGACTCTTTATTGCTCCACTCAGGCTCTCTACTTGTGGCGAGCGGGGGGTACTACTCTCTACTTGCAGTGCACCGTCTTCTCATTGTGATGGCTTCTCTTGTTGTGGAGCACTGGCTGCAGGACACAGGCTTCAGTAGCTGTGGCTCACGGGCTCGGTTGCCCCGCAGTGTGTAGGATCTTCCCAGACCAGGGATCAAACCTGTGTCCCCTGCATTGGCAGGCAGATTCTTAACCACTGGACCACCAGGGAAGTCCAGCCTCTAAGTTTTTATTAGCATGAGTTTTCCAACACAAACATTCATACTAGTGTGGGAGTTGAAAGAGGGAGAAGAGGAAGGGGCAGGGAGGAAGAATTCTGCCCAACTGGTAATAAAACTCCCAAGTTCATTCCATCATGGATCCCATAGTCCCTCAGAGACACACAGTCCTTGAAAATCATGAACCACTTCTTCAGAATGAGCTTGTTCCAGTGGGTGCCAGGTTGGGCTGTGATCGGCTTCTTGAGATTCCTGCTGGTGTCAGCAGCCCTGCATTTAAGGCAGACCTTCTTCCCCAGATGGTCGTTGCAGCCAACCTCGATCATCCTGGCTAGAGCTTGAATCACCTGGAACCAGCTGATGCCACAGCCTCCTCACTGGGGTGCAGAGCCTGGGCCCTTCTTTAAAAGAAAAAAAAAAAAAAGATATATATATATATTTAAAAGCACCATTTTTACTTGAAAGAACGAATGACAAACTAGAGTTGTTCAGATTTGGTGTTGGACAGACATTTCCAGAGTGGAATGCTAGTCTGTCACTTCAAGGACGCCAGCCCATGGTATTTGTCACCAATGACACCACTTGAGCTTTCAAGCAAAAATTAGAATTTGGGGAATCTTGTACCTGCCTCTTTGAGCTTGACAGCCTTCTGGTGCTTAAAGATCAACGATGGTATTAACAGATAGGAGCTGCTCATCTCATATAGTGAAAAACAGGTGCCAGCCATTGGAACATCTGCATATTTCACTGAGCCAGTATTTCCCACCTGACCTGTGTTTGATGTCACAAAACCTTGGATGAGTAAAAGGTTCATTTGAAATGTGGACTTCTGCAAATATCCCAAAAAAGCTATTCAAGTTCTCTTCCCTTTTCCAAATACCTGTATCGAAGGTGGATTTTCTTCATGTCCTTCCCCTAAAAGAGATTATCACAACAGATTGAATACAGAGGCAGATAGGAAAATCTAGCCAGACATTAAAGAGATTTGCAAAACTGTAAAAGAACACCACTCTTGTCGCCAAAGTCTTCTTTTAAGGACAGAAAGAGGGCTTCCCAGGTGGCGCTGATGGTACCCAGCCAATCCACCTGCCAACGCAGGAGACATAAGAGATGTGAGTTTGATCCCTGGATCGGGAAGATCCCCTGGAGGAGGGCGTGACAACCCACAGCAGTATTCTTGCCTGGAGAAACCCATGGACAGAGGAGCCTGATGGGCTATAGTCCACACGGGTCTCATGGAGTCAGACACGACTGAAGTGACTTAGCAACCATGCAAGGCCATACAGGGATCCTGAGACCAATAGGTTTGAGAACCACTGAGCCAAACGACTCTACAGAATTATTCTGCCCATCAGAGTGTGTATTTTAGTCCTGAAGCTTTAGTATCTGTCTTCTTTCATAAGCACTAGTGGCAGTTTTAATGGCATTTTGTAACACAGTTTTCGTCACTGGCATTGCCCACAGAACTTACCCCGTGCCTTTATCTTCCTAGCACATGTTCATGCCAGACAGGAGGTCAATGCCAGCTGGCCTCACTTTGCAGTCTGTTAGTCCCCAGAGCCTCCAAGGCAAAACGGTGAGTACGGTATCTTTACTTACCATATCATGTTTTATTTATGTGCTGCGCATGATAGCATGTATCTGACACAGCTTTTAAGCTTGAGTTTTCAGAGAGGCGCCGCTCAGAGAAAAACCATTACCAGTTTTGTGGAAGAGATGCTCAGTGGTAGAGTTGGCAGCCATATAGCCACAGGAGTGTCTGCCTGATTCCTTTTCCCTAAATGTCTGACTGCCTCGATATAAGATGCTGTTTTCCACCTTTGCTGTATAACCTGGGAGGGTTTCTTTACTTCCTTGAATGTTAGTTTCCTCTTCCTAAAAATGGAAGTTGGAGTGGTTCATTAGGGGAACAAATCCAGTAAGAAACACTGTGTGTGTAGTCAAACCACAGGCCTGGTAAGTTTCTCTGGTGAATTTTTATGTAGATTAACTACTTTAGAGCAGAAAAGAAACTGATTTACATATTTATACAGAGAGACTGTCCCAGATCCTAGGTTCAAGCACGTGCTTACTGTGAACAGTTCATAGTCAGTGTTATTTCCATTCACATTGAGAATGAGTTATGTTACCAGAACATTGTTGCTCTTCAAATTAGAAAAGATGACTTCTCAAAATTTCACTGCATTCTTCTATCAGGGGAGCTATGCTTTAATATTAGTATATAATATTCAGTCTCAGTTTCTCTGAAGATGCAGTTTGAGGACCGTATAGTTGTCCGTTTTTTAAAGTCCTTCTGTCCCAATCAAAACAAGTTCATCTTACATGTATTTCTCAAACATTTTTTATTTCATCTCTTACACGCTTAGATATAAGGAAGATTTCCTGGTTTTAAAATACTTGTGGTTTATTTATTAAAGTCTGTGGATACTATTATACTTCTCTAAAACTAGGGAATTTTAACTGTTGGAATTGTTAAATATTGTGGATCTGATGGACATTAATGATAAGCTCATGCTAAGTATCCTGTTATGAGCTTTCCTCTTCTCCCTTGCTCCCTCTAGTGGCTGTTTAGGATAAAATTTATGTGTCACCGCCTCCTTTCGGAAGAATCCACTGTGCCTCTTTTTATTTTGCCTTAAGTCTAAATATCTGGCAAATCTGTTGGAATTTTTCATCCTTTTGAAAATCTCTTTAACTCCATAAATAGTAAACCAGAGTTTTAAGCTTTCTTTTTTAGTATTTCTGTCAAATACCACTCTGGGTTTTAGGCTGTCTAATCCCCACCCTCCGCTCTCTCTGGCAAGATCTCTAGAGCTTGGGGATATAGTGACATAAGATAAGGACTGTCCCACAGCCATGAGATCACAGCATGTGGCTGGCATCTGAGCAAAGGCAGTTCTTTGTTTTCTGTTAAGAAATGTCCTCTTTAAGTTACACACACACATGTTCTGTGACTGTTTAATAGAAGAGGCTGTTGTCTCATCTGCATAGGTACCCACTTTTATCCTGAGGATCCAGTAGTAATTATGGTTTACTTTTGACATCTTTTTCCACCTGAAGGCAGTAACTTTAACATAACTTCAAATAACAGTTAAAATTGATTTGTAACAGATACAGGGTACTACACATAAAAGAGATATGCAACAAGGATTACTGTATAACATAGGGAACTATATTCAATGTCTTGTAATAAGCTATAATGGAAAATAATCTGAATATATATATAACTGAATCACCTTGCAGTATACCTGAAACTACCATAATACTGCAAATCAGCTATACTTCTACTTCTTAAAAAATTGTGTCTCTAAAAATTTTTTTTATATGGATGATAAAGAGCAATAGCAAACAGAACAGAAGAGAGCGGGTGTGATGCTTTGGTGCTGGCAAAGCAAGTCAGTCTTGGGAGCAATTTTTGGCTTGGACGCTTTCAGGGCACGTTGCAACCCTTAAGTAAAGAGACTCCCCCCGTGGACCCCGTGTGGTTTTTAATCGTAACAAAGCTCAGAAAAAAAACACTGAACACTATTTTATGGCCTGTAAGACTGCCGATGACCATACTTTACTGCATTTCTAATGAAGAAAAATACATCAGATCGGCCTGTTAAGGAATTTTTATCAACCTTTGAAAGTTGATTCCCCATCAGGGATCAGAATAACCAGTCAGGAACCGAAAGGTTCTGTGGTCTCCTCCGAGTGTAGAATGGGGGTTTGTGCACACGTGGAAGCTTTCTACATGTAAATATATTTTTTTTCCTTTAAAAAAAAATTTGGTCTTTTGGTTAATACTAAATATCCTGTGAAAACACTAACAGTGACATTTAAAAATATGACTGGGAAGCAATTAATAGATCCCAGGTGCTCACTGAGCTTAATGATGTGAAGATGTCATCCACGTTTTACATGAATTGATTTCTTTGCATTTACATTTTGTTCTCTAAAATAGAGTGTTGGGCATGCGGGTATTGTTGTTCTGCTTTAAAAGTCTTAGGTGCCATTTTTAAACATCTCATGAAAATATATTTCAATTATAGGTCTCATGTACAAACTTTTTTTTTCTTTTGGCATTATGCTTTTTTATACTTAACATTTGAACATCTCTCATGCATTCTGAGAAAATGCCTGAACATACTGTTGTTTTGCTGTACCTTACCAAGTAACACTGTTCCTTCTATTTCTCTAGATATCTATGCATTTATGTAGCACCTATCATCATAGTGCCTAGGCGCTATGTTTGATGTCAGCCGTAAGAGGAAACTTGCCAAGAAATCTTGGTTTAATATCTGTCACTTAAGACCACAATTAATCTGTTTTCCCGTTTGGATTCTTAAATTGTGCCCCTTCAGCCAGAGGAGCTTACGCTGCTGCTCATAAAGCTGAGGCGGCAGCAGGCGGAGCTGAGTAGTATCCGGGAGCACACTTTAGCCCAGCTCATGCAGCTCAAACTCGAGGCCCACAGCCCAAAGGTCAGCCCTGGAGCCGTGTGTGTGTGTCTGCTCTCATCACTCACCCGAGCCGCTCATCCTCAGTCGGTCCCACCTGCCTCATTCCCACGAGCACCAGCCATCCTACCATTGCGGGGCCTCCTATTGACCCTTTGAGAACTCCTTTGGTCATACCTTATCGCTGTGGGCTGAGCATGTTTCTTCTTAGCCTTCTCTCCACCCGCTCACCCGCCAAGTTTTGGTTATGAGCCAGGAAAGGCAAACAAGACTTCAGAATAGCTTTGCCATCCACCAAACACTGCGACTCCGGTGAACCAGATTGAAGAGTCCCGTCATTTCTCATAAAGTAACCAGTGGGGAATTGATCGTCTTTCTAATAAAGCTGCCTTTTCATTGCCAAAGATCAGTTTCCTTGTGTTCTCAATTTTTAAAATGAACACACGGAAACATTTCTCAAAGGGTTTAATAGCCTCTGGTTATAAACATCCCAAGAAGTAGTCCTCTATTGCAGAAAAGAATTAACATTTAAAGTGTCTAACATGGAGTCTGCTGAAACCATTTGAAGGATTTTTCTGCTTACTATTTCAGCTTATATGCATGTCTATGTAATTTCTTACAGAACTAAATGTGATTTTTTTTTTTTAATAGTAATGGAATACGTCATCTGTACCATTTACGGGGTGGGGGGCATGTGTGTTAAAGTTGTTGTGTATTGTGACATAATAGGTGGTGGCAGACTACCTGTTTTTCCTGTTTCAAAACTGACTTTCATGAATTCCACACCCTCTTTCTCTGTCCCTTTGTTTCTTGATTGACGTCTGCTAGAATGAAATCCTTTCACATCACCTTCAAAGGAACACCATATATTTGGATCATCAGGTGGGATTTGAAGAATTTTTCTTTCTTATTGTACCTTTCGTTTTAATGTTTTAAGTGTAGTACAATTTTCAGGCTACTCAGATTATTTCAGACACTTTGAGTTAATAGCGTGACTTTTACAGGTGGCAGGCTGATAAGAAATCCTTTACCAGGGGAATTCAGGAATACCATAATAACCAGGTTAGAAAGGACAATTATGGAGATGAGGCAGGATACAAATGCCAGGTCTCTGAAAGTTGAGAGCCTGGACTCACTAGGTTTCTTTCTTCTTACCCCAGGAAAGCTTGTACTTACTTACGGGCTTATATCAGCTTGGAGGTGACCTCATTAAAGAAATAGACACCCAGCTGTGAATGCCTTGTTGGAAGGCTAGGAGGAGATAAGTGTGGTGGGCTCTGTATTCCCAAAAGGGAGGTTAAGTGTGGGTGACATGTGTGACGAAGACATTGTGTTACTGCGCACCATCTCCTCCTGGTGTCAGTTTGATAGAGACCGACAGTTGCAATCTCTCAGTGGTGGTAGTGAGTGTGGTTGGTTAAGGTGAATATTGAAAAGTGGAAGTTCATGAACAAGGACTGACACTCCTAAGTGTTGGTGTTTATGAAATTCCCTGTTAATATTTAATTTTAATTTGATGAGAATTTTCAATATGTTCTTAAATAAAAGTTTATTCTGGTGAATGCTTTTTTTTCATACAAGTTAAGCTAAAACTTGCTTTAGCTTGTTTTCGAAATGTTTAAACTTGAGTATTTTATCAAGTGAAAGAAGTTACTGTGGAAAGGGTTATAAGAAATTATTTATATATTTATATTTGCCCTGTCCTGTTTGAAACAAAATAATAATGCACTGCTTTAAATTAGTTCTATTTAAAGAGGGATTTTGCACTAGGATAACCCTTGGAAAGACCTTCAGTCATATTTATTTTAATTTTTGAAAGAAATACACTTTTGTTAATATATAACTTATTTTCCCACAAAATGTTTTCATCCTAATTCTGCCCATCAGAATGCTTTAAAAATCAGCATTTCATGAATCCAAATTTCAATCTTCACTCTAGAAACTGGTGCTATTGCATTTAACCAGTGTACATTATATATGTTATCAGTAATAAAGACATGTTTGCCAACAAAATAGTAAGATAAGTCTTTCCTTAAAATTTCACACTCTTGAAAGCTTCTAACATACATGGGAAGTAACTTTCTTAGAAGCTCCATTGTATATAAATCTAATGATAGTTCTGAAAAACAGTGGGATTCACCAAAAAATGAGGGTTAAAAACAGTGATATAAATGTGAATCTGAAGTTATCTAGAATCTCTGGAAATAAACCTAGTAATTTATTAATTTACTATGTACCTCATCAAATCAAATCTGCTATTGCAGACCCATAGAACTTAAGCAGCTTTTGGTAAAGGGCAGGTAAATATATGGAAATACCACCATTTGCACAAATGCCTCTCCTCATACTGCTTTCCCAGGTCGAGCTGCTTCTTCCCGTGGCTTCAGTGGCCTAGATCTGGCTGAGGCTGTGTTCCCACCCTTTGCTCCCTTGGCATGCCCCGCCAAGCCTTTCCTGATGTGCCATGCCGACAGTCCCACAGGTGGCTTCTAAAATCTCAGCTTCTTAGACACAAGCCCCTGGCAGTCCGGTCGTTAAGACCACCTTCCAATGCAGGGGGTGTGGGTTCAATCCCTTGTCAGCGAGCTGAGATCCCACAGGCCTCTTGGCCCAAAAAAAGGGTAAACAACAGAAGCAATATTATAATTAATTCAATGAAGACTTTAAAATGGTCCACATCAAAAAATGAAAGAGGATGGAAAAGGCCAGGAAGTGGGCTCTGCCCTCCACAGTGTGGAGGGAACATGACCCTGCCCACACAGTGGTTTTCGCAGGTGGAAATGATTGCAGGCTTCTAGCCTCCAGAAATGTAAAAGAATAGTGTATGTTGTTTTTTAATGAAATAGTTAATTATTTAAACTTTCAACTTTGTATCCCATCCTCTCTGTACTCTCAGCATGTCAGCAGAGCTTTTCCAGTGATTCACTTTTTTCTTAGATTAGATCCTGAAATAACTGTCTGATTCCACTTTAAAAATTTATGTGATAGTGAAAAGAATTGTAGAGTTTAATTTTTAAATGATGACTTGCAATGACTATTTCTGATGGCAAAAAATGGGCCATTTTTTGATAATAGAAAGTATATATAAAAACATGGTGAGGGCTTTGCCCAGAAACTCAGATATGCCTAAGTGTATATATTGTTAAGGGTTCCTAAAGAAAAATCTCTCTTTAAATAAATCAAAAAATTTTATGGTTTCAAATAATTGCATTTGATATAAATGAAATATTTATTTTTGAACTGTCCTATATTTTATTTATATCAATAGTAAGGTTATTAAGCTATGTAGAAAGGTTATTAAGTTATATAGAAAGAATTCTTGGTAATTTTAATTTTAATGAAAATTTTCAGCTCGAACATTTCCAGCTTTTAATCTTGTTACTGCCAGTAGCCAATTTTAGATGACCAGGTAAATTTTTATAGGCATTATTGGTTGCCTGGGTTTATAAACTAATTCACCAGTTTTATATGATTGTAAATTTGAAAGTAGATTTTAAAACCTTAACGTCAGAGGCTCTGGTCACATTTTACAGACTATATATCATACCAAGAGAATATGTACTAATTGATACTCTTTCAACACTTGTTCTGCTTGCTCAAATAAATCATCAGAATAACCTAAGGCCAACTTTTAATTGATTTAAATTCTCTTAATCGCTATCATTATTCATGAAAAGTAGAACCAAAGTGTAGTCTCTAAAGTGCTTCTAGGTAAATTCATTTCTGATATTATAACAAATAAAAATACCTTATCTGAAATTCTGAAAATTTACATATTATACAGTCAACCCCAAACTCTTAACTTCTGGTGCCATATAACCATTATGAAGATAAGTCATTTACTGGAGTGTTTTTAAAATTAACAAAAACTGTACTAATTATATGGTAGAATTTTCTTCTGCTTTCTGTTTTACTTTGAAGTACACTATCACACTTTGCTTATGTTTTTATAGCCCAATTAGTAGACTGTTCAAAGTCTATATTTATTCAGATGAGTCTAGGTTTATTTGTCATTTTTATGAATTTTTAGATTTCAAAACCCTGATGTATAATCTGTGAACATACAAGAATCCCAACTAGATACTTTATGTACATCATCCAGGTTCTCTTTAGAAAATGAATAAATACATAATGTATCAATAACTCATTTTCTTCTCATTTAACTTAGTTATCATTGAACATTAGAGAAACTTTTGGTTACAATTTAAGTGAAACTGGACAGTTTCATCCTAAAATACATCGATGGAATGGATTTGACATTGACTTGACCCTGATGCTGGGAGGGATTGGGGGCAGGAGGAGAAGGGGACGACAGAGGATGAGATGACTGGATGGCATCACCAACTCAATGGGCATGAGTTTGAGTAAACTTCGGGAGCTGGTGATGGATAGGGAGGCCTGACGTGCTGCAATTTATGGGGTCGCAAAGAGTCGGACAGGACTGAGCGACTGAACTGAACTTCCCCTTGTTTATTTCTCTACCTACCAGAATATGGGGGGTGGCGGGGGGAGGGCCAAGGAAAGCCATAAGTACATCTTGCAATGACCTCTACTTTCCAGGAAGTTGGAAGTAAATTTGAGACTATCAGCAAGTGTAATGGTATCCCCTCCTGAAGAGTTCTTTGACAATGAGGGAAAAGACTCTCTTGATATATTTTCCTTTTTTCTCATAACGGGACAAATTGAGCTTGAATTTTAGAACTATGCCTTTGAACCTTTATTTGATGATTAGGAGTTCCTGATGTTTTCATAGAGCCAGATGTACATCATCTCTTTGAAGCCAGAGTAACAGGTTTCTACCGAAGCTTACTGTAGTCAACCTTCTGCTTGTCAGCTGGAGTGTATGTCTCTGCTTTACCAGGCCTAACAAGGGTATAGGGACTTCATTTTCTTCCTCTTGTCCCCTACAAGGATTCCCTCCCTTGTCTAGTTCTGGGCTCCTGTCGTATGGACCAGGACTGGTTGGATTGAGCCAAGGAGTGAAGCTGGGGTTGTAGAAACTAGAGCAGGAGCTGGGGAGAGGGAACTAGGCAAGACCTCTGTGGATGAAGAGGCAGAGCAAGAACTGGTACTTATTAGTTCAGTCGTGATGGAGGAGTGGTAGGATTGGGGAAGTTAGGACATGCTGCCGTCCCTTCATCTGTCTTCTTTCCCTTTGCTTCTTTCTTCCTCACTTGCTGTTTCCTTCTTTTTCTGTTGGTGATCGAAAAGCAGTTATGAGGGAGTTTCTGCCAACTTTCCATGTAGGCCATGGTAACAGAAAATGAAGTGCTTAAGAACTGAGATGAAGAGATAACATAGGTAGGGGTGGACCAGAAGGATCTAGAGGCTTGGAGCAGCGCTTCGCAGACCTTTTGCAAGCACGCTGCCCCCTGGTGGACGACCTTGAGCCTATACCAGCCCTCTTTCCCCACCTCCTCCCCCCAGCACTCCAGTGGCCAGCCTCCCCGTTGTAGAAAATCTGATAGAATAAATGGAGTTTGACTCCTACTGATGCATGCTTTGCTTGTGTCGGTATTGTAGCAGATGATTTTTCACTTTTTAAATGTAAAATGGTAACATCGAATGCGCTTTCACAAATGACCTTTAAAATGATGGCATTCTGCCCTTACCCCACTCCCTTCAAGAGTCACTATAGTTAATTGCATCAGAAATACCTGCACGAAAACCGGAAAGGGAGGCCCAGAGTACTCAAAAGTTCTTCATGAAAAGAAATATGACTCTCTTAGTCATTTTATAACATTCATTTGCCTTTACCCAGCTGGAGCTGTCTCCTCCCCACCTGGAACAGAACTAAATCATTTCTGAATTTAGCATCAAATAGTATATTCTTTAACACCAGATGGCTAAACCTTATCCTCAAATTTTCATGGAAAAACTGAAAGTTTCTCATGAAAAACCAGTCCGCCAAAGTACAGAAAAAGAAAAATAAAAGTCATGAATACCTGTGATGTTCTTATTGCATGAAAATGTTTAAGGTTTGCAAGGCAAAAGCTCAATCTTTCTTTTTTAAAAAATTTATTTATTTTTGGCTGTGCTGGCTCTGTGAGGGCTTTTCTCTAGTTGCAGTGCAGGGAAATTATGAGAGTGGGAGATGCTGTTAGAACAGCGGGCCAGTTCAAGGGAAAACTGACATTGAACAGGGGTCTTCAGTCCACTTTTATGCCTTGGGTACAAAGAGTGGGATAGGGGTCTTGTGGGTCATTTGCTAATTGGATGAGGCACATATACTGGGTGGAGGGAAGAGTAAGGCAAATACCTTCTCCCGGGTAGGAGGCGAGACAGGTTATACTGCTCAGGAGGACTTGAAATCCATTAATAGATACAACATGAGGGAGGGAAGGATGATAAGGGTCTGGCTATTCCACTCCTGCATTCCAAGACCCTCCTTTGTTTTACCTGCTCTTTATCTGCTCTCCTTGGATCACCACACTAACCTCTAAAACATCTGGAAGAGTACATTGAAGTTTCTAAAATGCAAAAGTTTGGTAGTAGCATTCAGATTATATAATGTAGCTCTTTTATAAATACTAATATTTTGTGACCCGTGCACCAAAACTACTAGTGACTTTTTTGGAAGAAGTCTGACACCCTATTATTGGTTGCTGTGGACATCCCTCATCTGCATGCTTTCTCTAGACTTTAAGAAACCACACAAACAGGAACTCTGACCACTTCTAAACATACTTATGCCAAGGGAAATGCAAAAAGGAACTGTTAACCGGGTGTATGTAATTGGTACTGAAACCATTTAAGGTAAAAAGTCTCAGTACTTTCTTGCATTTTGTTCTTTGTATTCATGAAAAGCAGTTCCCCTAAAAGGGAAGAAATGCTAACAAGATAACTGAAAAGTTTCTTGATGGCTTTCATTGTTGGCCATTGACCACCTTTATTCCGTTGAGTTATTAAGTAAGATCCCATTTTCTCTAATATTTGAAGGGATCCTAGAGCTTCTATTTTTAGGGGTGATTGAAAGCTCCAGGGGGTAATCTTTCTAGGGGATATAGAAAAGACATTTGGAAAAAGCAAGCTAAGGAAACTGGAAAATTGAAAATATCTTATTTAGCATATACCGACCCAAATTAATTACGTGGTATAGTATATCAGTATTTTCTTGTGCCTTGCTGTTCAGAGCAGTCCTCTCTCTCACATACACCATTTCTCTTTTTTTCTCTTTCTGTCTCTCCCTTCCTCTGCATATTTGATCCTAGTAGTGGTAGGGAGAGGGAGATGTCACCGAGAAATATCTTAACCAGGATATGACATCGTAATCAGTTCAGTCTCTCAGTCATGTCCGACTGTTTGCAACCCCGTGGATTGCAACACTCCAGGCCTCCCTGTCCATCATCAACTCCCTGAGTTTACTCAAATTCATGTCCACTGAGTCGGTGATGCCATCCAACCATCTCATCCTCTGTCGTTCCCTTCTCCTCTCACCTTCAGTCTTTCCCAGCATCAGGGTCTCTTCCAATGAGTCAACCTTTTCATGAGGTGGCCAAAGTATTGGAGTTTCACCTTCAGCATCAGTCCTTCCAGTGAACACCCAGGACTGATTTCCTTTAAGGTGGACTCTTAATGGCAGAATATAAATAAATGGACAGTGAGGAGATTAGAATTTAGAATGTGGAACTGTGTCAATACGCTGACCTCTTGGCCTAGCTGATGCTTCCCCGTTATTATCGTGGTTCTCCTGTTTCTTACAGTGATGAATCTGTCCCTGTTTGCTGTTTTCACCCATCTCAACCCCAGTTTTACGGAAGTGCCCGGTGTCTTGGTATCCTCTCATCTGAACATTGCTCTACTCAACATTTTACTAGCTGTCTGTTACTTTTCATCTCTAGCCCCTGCATTTCTCCCAGAAACAGAGCCTGTGATATGGGCTTCACATGTGGGCTTGTTTGCGGGGAGTTTTACTTGTGAGAAGTAATCCCAAGGTACAGGAGTAAAGATAGTGAGCCGGGAACGTGGGGATAGCTTATCAACTTGCCAGAAGCAACTCGGGCCTCTTCTGATACTTGTTGACAAACAGAAATCATGTGGACTTACCAGCTGACCTGGAGAAGAGGGCAGCATTTGTATCCACTCCCATCCTTCACTGACCAGAGTTGTCCCTTGAGACCAGCTCTTGAGTACACTGAGGTTGCACACACGTGAGCGCCCGGAGGTTCTCAGGACAGACAGCGAGGGCTGAAACGAGATGTGGAGAGGGGACGCATCTGCAGTCCCCGCTGTGTACTTCTAGTTGGTCAAGGAAATCTCCATTTGGAAGCTCTGCCTTCAGTACATCTCCTGTGTGTCCAGAACTAAGGCTGTCATCTTCACCCCTCAATTCCCTGACCATAAAAAACTGAGAGCAGAAATGGTTCAAAACACTGGTCCCCTTTAACCCCATTGATGTCACAAACGTTTATTGAGCATATCATCCTCAGGGAAGAGCTTGATGAACTTGAGAAGGATCAGGACCTTAGCTTTAGCTCTTTGCCTAGACATAGAACTTGAAGTGATTGAAATCCCCAAGAGAACAGAGCTGGGGCAGCCTCTCCCAACCTGGTGGGTGAGAAGGAAGACAGCAGGCTACCTGAAGGGATCCCTGGGGTTGTATTCTACCAACTCATATTAAAGCTAAAAATACCTTGAAACTGGAGTTAAAAACTGCTGTAAAAACACTTGACTGAAAACGGTTCTATATGATTTTGCCGAACTATCCGAACAGATTGTACTTTAACTGATACATAATATCTGCATGGTATTGAATGCAGATCATAAATGCGACCAAAACACATTGCCCCTACTAAGCTCCTCAATACCATTTAGTTGCCAAATCCTGGCTGTACTTAAACCTGCCACATTGTCTTTCAGCTAACTCAGGAAACTTCAAGCTCCCTGTTCCCCACAAAATTAAATTTCTTTTTGATGTGTCACTCGGGCCCTCATTTCATCACAAACACCTCCTCCCCCATAAACCCTTTCCTCCAGTGACTCATCGTTTCTCAGATGTAGTGGAAGCACCCCATTCTCTTCACCATGCACCTGTCCAGCATCTTTCCATCCTAATAGCTTGTATCACTTCACAGTTGTCAAAGTTCTGACACATACCACGTCCCACCTGCCTCGGCAATGTGTGGCCAGTTACTCTTATCCCCAATCAATCAGGTTGAAGTGACTTGTCCAAAATCACAAAGCTAGGATGAATACCTTGTATTAATGAATTTTCTTTCTTTCTTTTTTAAAATCTGTTCTACTTCCTTCAAAATCAATAGAGTTGTTCTTGTACCTAAAATAGTTCTGTTTCAGGTTGCTGATCTTTGTTACCTGACAAGTATCAGTTCCTGGTCATATAACTGGTTATTTTCCTATCTACCAAGGTAAATTCAGCTTTCACAGTATCTTAGTGATGTATAATTAGTTTTATAAAGATAAAAGATTTAATTTTAAAGATTCTTCTCCAAACAATTTGCTATTAGTAACCTTTAGTTTAATAAAACTGTAGTATTTCTATATGTATCTTTATATGTTTTGGAGAAGAAAATGGCAATTCACTCCAGTATTCTTGCCTGGAAAATCCCATGGACCGAGCAGCCTGGCAGGCTACAGTCCATGGGGTCACAAGAGTCAGACACAACTTCTCAAGTATACCACCACCACCAAGACAGGAAAATGAAAACAATAGTTCCCCACCCCTCCTAAAATGCATAATATTTATACAGTTCCACAATTTATTTACAAAAGCTAATATTTTATAACCCAATTATTGTGGCTCTTGTTTGCTTCTATCTTATGTTAATTTTTTTTTCCAGAAAGTTCATTCAGCAGAGATTTATGGAGCTTAGTGTCAGGCAGGATGTTAGAGCTTATAAGGTAGAATTGTAAATGGTTTTCAAAGCTCAGGAAGGAAATAAAGTTGAGCATAAATGCCAAAATCTTTTCTGGGATCAACCTAAGGGTGTGATTATGTAGTTAAAACATAAGCTGATAAATCTTTGAATTAATGGTAGGAATTCTGTTAGTGCCAACTTTAACTCAATAGGAATGCGATTGCTATTAATAAAGCCCAGATCCTGTATCTAGAGGATATTTTAATTTTGATTTAAAGCTCAAATATATTTTAGAATAGATTTACCCATTGGTCAAAACAAATACTACCCCCCCCCGCAACAGAAATGATGTAAGATTTTGACTTTGGGAATGTTTTGTTCCTTCAAAATAGTATCGCTTTGGGACTTCCCTGGTGGTCCAGTGGCTAAGACTCCAGGCTCCCAATTCAGGGGGACTGGATTCAATCCTAGGTCAGGGAACTAGATCCCACATGTCGCCCCTGAAGATCCCACATGCTGCAACTAAGACCCAGTGCACCAAATTAGAAAAAAAATATATCATTTTATGGTATCATTTTGCAAAATGCTTGCAAGGAAGAGAAATATATGACCATTTCAAACATTTATCCACAATAAAGCATTTTTACAAAATGTATTTTGAGTTCTTTTCATATTTTCAGTTTCCTGTGGATACCAGGAATAAAGATGGTGTCATCAGATAATAGTACATTACTTAAAGGAACAGTATTTTTTAAAAGTTATTTATCAAGGAAAACAGGCTGGTTCATGTTGATATATGGCAGAAATCAACACAATATTGTAAAACAATTATTCTCCAATTAAAAAACTTAAAAAAAATATTCTCCAAGGGGAAGAAAAGGAAAACAGATTTAAGCCACTGAAACAAAAATCAGATCTATAAAATGTATCCTGTAGCCAAAGGATTTTAATTTTAAAAAATTCTTAAAAGGCCCATAGATGAAAAAGGATGACACTAATTTGTACATTGTTTGGAAAAGTACAAATTTGGAAAATTCCAAATGATTTACGTATATAATTTATGTAAACTGTAGATTGTTTAGAAAGACATTAGCCTAGATCTTAAAGGTTTGCTTGAAATATACCACAGGTATGTATCTCAAAATGCTGACTTCAGAAGTTCAGTTTAGCTAAGGTTGTGAGTGTAGAGATTGCCCTCCTTTTGTTCTGCTGGATTCGGGGTATTTTCATAATGTGCCTCAATAAGTGGATCTTCTTCCTGAAGCCAGTACTTAGAGTCAGTTTAAAAATGCTCTTTTTTTTTCTTTTAGGGGAATGTCAGATATGACTCCTGTGTTGCAGTTTGCTTTCTCTTTTTCTTTCTTTCTTTTTTAATCTGTCTTTCTCCCTTAAAGAAAAAGAGGATATATTATATAGTCTAGCTGCATCTTTTAAAGCACCATTGAATTTTTTCTGAATATATTTAATAGTAATACTTTGCCAAAGTTCTACCTTTAGAAACCACATACAGCATGAACCGTCTGTTCTGACTGCTTTAAGATTTTTCCAAAGTAATAGACCTCCATACTTTGCCCCATTGGTTATAAAGAGACTTATTTACATCTTTCTATTTAAAAAGTCACTTCAGATTTTCCTGCTTCGTGTTAAACAATGAGCAGTTTCTATAGGTAGTCATACCCTTCAATCTCAGGTTCTGGGACTTTCAGCTGTGCCTGGAATGAGAGTGGAAGGCATTTACGTCGTCATTATCCAAATGACCTGTTTATAAAGGCCCCCGCAATCCTCACAGCTTCACCCCCGGGCATGTCAAATTCTTTAGCCTTTTATTTTTGCCACACATCTTAAGAGTTTATTGATCTAGACACAGGAGGACATTCTTGAGAGATGGATTCTTTGGTGATTAGGCTATCAGGGTTTTGGGCTATTGTTAAGACAGAGTCCCAACTTAAAAATTCTTTTTTCTAAAATGCCATTAAAAGCTCAGGAAAAGTCCATTTTCCATTTAAATGGAAAATGGCCACACAGAAATGGGTCTTCTCATTGGTTATCAGTGAAGGACAAAAGCTCTCTAGGGTGTCTCGAAATCATCCAGACTGATTGCCCCCACCCACCCCCCCAAAAGGAGAGAGCTGTTAGTAGTTAGTACAGAATTCAGACTCAAGGAACCTCCGTTACTAGACAGAGCTTGAGCAAACATTTTCCCTTCTGAGAATGAGATCCATGTGCTCCAAATTTAGGGGAAAATTATACTTAACTTTGCCAGTCTAGAATTTCTAGGCTTACTGTTCAGTATAATAGCCACTAGCCCATATGTGGCTATTTAAATTAGCTACGTTTTTAGAAAAGTAAAATGCATCTCCTCCATCACACTAGCCACATTTCAAGGGCAGAAGAGCCACTGGTGTGGCATTTTGAACTATACAGGTAGAGAGCATTTTCATTATCACAGAAAGTTCTGTTGGACAATGTTATTCTAGATGATTTATTATATAAACTTTTTTTTAAATATAAGCATTTATTTCACCAAGTGTCAGGCTTGTAATTTGCCAGATGTGCATTTTTGTTGCTATTATTGTTGTTTCTTTATTTGTCTATACCAAGTCTTAGTCGCAGCACACAGGATCTTCGATTTTCTATTTCCATTGTGCCACATGGTATCTTTCAGTTGGTAAAGAACCCACCTGCCAATGCAGGAGACGAAAGAGACACAGGTTTGATCCCTGCATTGGGAAAATCCCCTAAAGTAAGAAATGGCAACCCACTTCAGTATTCTTGCCTGGAGAATTCTACGGACAGAGGAGCCTGGCGGGGGCTACAGTCCATGGAGTCGTGGAGAGTCAGACAGCTGAGCTCACGCACTGGCCGGCTGGCTGTGGGATCTAGTTCCCGGACCAGGGATTGAACCCAGGCCTCCTACATTGGGAAGGCAGAGTCTTAGCCACTGGAACACCAGAGCAGTCCTATGTGAACTTTTTAAAGAGCATTTAAGCCACGACTTAACCACTTCTTATTCGTAAAGGGGGATTGGGAAATTAATCTTCCCGAGGACAAATTATAGGAGTGATTGTTCTGCCTTTGCTCACTGGGAGTGTTTCACCTCCTGACTCTCCCCCTAAAATTATTCAGGAGCATTTATCTTATGACTTACAGCATGCTGATCCTTCCACTGTCCTAGCTGGTCTAGTTTCTGTAGCAATAGATATTTTTAAACAGATATTTGAAGTTGCTAGGATAATAGAACAACAGGTAGTTGGAAATTGAATTCTTAGTAATACCCCAGATCTCAGTGGATTCTGCTGAGCCCACTGATAATAAAGTGATTCAATTGATTTTTTAAGGCAGTGAAGTTAATGCTGTATTTCATACAAAAACAAGAATGTTTTAGTCTCCATACAATATACTTGTGTTTAGATGATTAGTTTGATACTTTTCATCTTTTGATAGTTGCACAGATATCCTGACCAATATTTAGTACCAGCATATCAGGACCTTGAAAAAATTCCTAATTGGTGATGGTTGAATTGGTCCTCGGTTACTTAAATTAGTGCTGGGACAGGATCACGG